CAAAATGAAAGAAGTATGTGAGTGGCTGGATACTTGTGTGGCAGCCCACGTAACACTTCGGATTATATTAGCGTTGCTACACGAGCTCCTGATAATATTTCTTTGCATAAATGCTGTTTTCGCAAGTCTCTGCTTCAGTTTCAGACATCTTTTTGCTGTAAAGGACATCGAAGGCTGTATTTCTTTTGTTATAATACGTCGATGTCAAACCCATTTTCTAGAATCAATAGTTCCTACAAGGTACTTCCTTCCTTCTAGAATTAGTGGAAAATTTGTCGCCCCTTGGCGAAATGTTGCAAATCAATGATCATTTTCAAATTTATTAGGCTTTCATAATAAAAACAGTACTCAGTTCGAGCTGAAAATCACATCGAATAGGTTCAAGTAGAAACAACAAGACAACCTATCAGTATCTCAAGGAAAAATCCGGTTTAGATCTCGAGATGGCATTAACAACCTCTCTACATCTCCTCAAATCAAAAATCTTCTTTCTGAAACTAGGTATGAAAATTATGATAGCTATCGGATCCAAGAACGTGTATAGTGCTATTGTGTAAGGCACAAAGGCAGAGAACCTGAAAAGGGACTAATTATGTTCAATTGCAAATCATAGGAAATAATGTAGAATATGCTGTGGAGTAGCAAAAGTTTTCGGCTTCAAGAAATATGGATTTATGGATTGAAGGTGGGAGCACTTCTCACCCCCCCCCTCCGCCCCCAAAGTAGCCTGGTGTTTTTTGCTAAATCGAATTTAAGTTTACTCTTATTCATGTCCATTATCATTGGTTTTGGGTTGTTATGGTGAAAATACTTAAAGTGGATCCAAATTCACATTTTTTTCGAATCCATTTCTGGGAGAACTGACGCATCCCAGCATTCATTTACCGATTCCAATATATTCTTGTCATTGTTTTCTCAAACCGATACAGGTTGTTTCCTCAGCTCTGGATGCTATGCATTGGCAAAGCTGGATGATTGTTGGCCCATTGTGCGACCAAATGCTGGAGTTCCCTCACCAACTATTAGGTTCATGCAGAAAAAGTGACGTCGATTCTTTAAAGGCAGTGTCTCACCTCATGAGGGGCAACGAGATATCAACGGAATCTGGTCCTGCTCGACGCGCTGATTCCAAAGATGTGCTTGAAGCCCGAAAAAAAAACCCGTCAAAAACCCCTTTTTGAAGGCCAGATTCCGTATTGGAGCGGACGACTTCCCCTGCTAGGAAGCTAGCAAAAGCGAAGCTGGGAAGTTGAGGTTGCCCATTAAAATGAACTTCTCAGCAGTGGCTATCATTGAATGAACAAACATTGCCGTGTTGAAAACATGCCGCACCCTCCGCAAGTTTCAGCTACGGAATGAATCCTCTCGTCTGCTGGCTGAGAATTTCAAAATTCTCGGCCAAAGAAACCCGTAACTCATGGGGTTTTCGAGGTTTCCGAGTAACTTAAAGTACATCTTTGTGCTCAGCGGCTCGCACATGTTCGACTTACGAACTTGGTCCCTGAGGTGAGACACTGCCTTTAAAACCAGATTATCTTGCTTGGACAAAATGTTACATCTAGATATGGTAACGTGCTTGTAGATTAAAGAAAGCTATAACTATAGGTAGAAAAGACGTCAACTACGGTTGGCAGTCGTAAAGTAATCAAAAAGGTCAAGAGATGTAGCTTTTAGTTTTCTAGATTTCGAAGAATTTTTTACAGCGATTCAAGCAATACAGTCCAGAACACCTTCTTGTCTTTGGTGAGATGTCAGCACCTACTTCATATGTGAGCTCCTGCAAAACGTCTTCGCTTTTAACGCACATAGCACTTTTCCAAGACTTCCCTTTGTTAGTTTTAGGATTCTTGCTAGAGGATTGTCGGAATCAACGCCCTCAACAATGTTTCTCCACGCCATTTTTGTTGTTATATTGTTTAAATTCGGTGGTGGTAATGAGCGAGAACTCACGCGTTTCTTGAAGATCCCTTGATAACGAAAGCAAACATCAGAAATCGTGGCAAATACGAAAATATGAAGGGGATGGTCGCCTGAAAATGAATAAAGCACTGCTTCTCTGTAAATCCAGGGGTCGTTACCAGCTAACTTCCGCACCGGGGCTCGCTGGTACTACCGCGTGGTCGGGAGCCTTTGCAGAGCTTTTCTAAGGGAAACAACCGTTTGCAGCAATGTCAATAGTTTTATTCCAGGTGTTCAGCCGCTTTTTCGCAATTGACCAATAAAGATTGGTAATGATTATAATACGCAAGTGAGGGTACGCTAGTTTAAAATTTATTGTAGTACGATTCTTATCATCATAAAATTTTTTGTAAATATTTACTGATGGTGGCCCGCAGAGGTGGTAGTTGTTCGATTGATACTTAAGATATGTTCACATATCTTATGGAACGCTCATGAAGTGCAGAACAATGTCATTTGACTATTTGAAAATGGAATTTTCCTTGAACCTGTCATGGATGACCTCATTAAATCTCCTATCTGCGACAGTAGTATGCAATGGTAGTGTACTCTTCACAAACTGATGCAGAGAATACTGAATAGTGAAGTTTCAAAGAAAGCTAAACTTCTTCTGTAGAAAAGCGCTTCTGAACCCCAAAAGTTTGTGCCAATGCTGTTTTTCCAAAAATATGACAGATCCATGGAATAATGGCCTATGTAATTCTGTTGTGCTTCGTAACCTGGTCTTCACATTCAATTTTGTATCGATCTCTGTCCACTCACAAGTTTTTTCCAATATTTACTTCTTTAGTTAACATAATACTTGAAGGTGCTCTGGACCTCTATGACCAACCCACCTGGACAATGAGTGCCCGGAGAAGTTGATGTTGAAGATTGCGTGTTTTGTTGCTAAGTGATATTCGCTCGAGGGCACGGATTATTTGAACACCACAGCAGATCATCACGACAAATGTAAAGAACATCATAATCACCATAACAAATAAGCCGACACAGTATGATGTGTAAATGATGATCTCGCCATTTATGATTTCCTGCGAAACTACTTCATTACAAAAATTGTTCTTTCTTGTCTTTCTGTTACAAAAATTTTTCTGTGTATTTGTATGCTTCCTTGTTTGAACTAGCTGTTAGGCGACTATCATGAGAGTGTGATCTTACATAAATGAAAACGCAGAAGAATCCAAGCTCGTCGATGTCGTAGTTCGCTCGTGAAAGTACCGTGGCACGGGCGAAATTGCGATACCTCTCGCTTGGAGCAAATAAAAAGAAGTTGATTGAGAAGTATGTGAGACCCCAAACGAGAGTGAGCGCTACCCAAGCTAGCTTACACTCGAAGGAGGAAAACAAATAGCGATGGTTCGGCCTAAAAAATTGCTTCCATTACGTTCAAATATTCTTTAAATAGAATAGTCGTACCTGCATATAATTACGTATCGATATACAAAATGAATAGCCAAGAGAAATGTGCTCAACCCATACATGGCAATGAAGACCGACAATGAAAAGTAGCCGACTGACTTAAGATCGCCACGAAAGTTTCCACTATACGCCATGTATGATGCTTCAATGAGGAGTACCTTCTTAAATATGAAAAAAAATTAGGTTAAATTTGGATTAACCGCATTAGGATTGCAATCACCACAATAATTTCCCGGATAAAGCTGTCTAGTCTCTTCCTTTTCAGTCAAAACGCTGATTTAGTACACTGATATGTACCAGTTAGGCATTCCAGAAACTGGAGGTATTTTTGGCCTAGCTCTTAATCACTGAGCTTAACAGAAGCTGTTGCTATACTCTGTTATAATGTTTTTTGAGATATGTATCACATCGTTGCATAGGATTCAAAGGTCTCATAATGAGACGTAAACGTGAAAGAAGTGTCGGTACTCCCTGCTCAGAGTCCGATCCAAGTACTGAACTGCACTTCCAGCTTTTAGATTTCTTTCACAAAATTGAGAACTAATATGTCAAAGGAAAGGCGCGTTGAAAAGTGCGCCTATAGTGTTAGATCGTAAAGAAGGTAACGGAAGTTTTCTGCTTTTTGTAAGATTTTTCTGGTACGCAGCATTGAAATCAAGGACTTCGTCACAACATTTCTGTAGACTGCGGAGGCGGAATTTGCAGCTAACGTTTCAACAAGCGCCCTGTATAAAACGGTAGTGGTAACTATTCTGCCTTGCATTGGCAGCTCAAATCATAGCCTTTACCTGCGGTATGAGATAAGGCTGCCCGAGGCGTGACTTTTTGTGACGGCGTATATCTCCAAACTCGAAACAGGTGGAGCCGTAGAACATTTCGTGGTACACCGCTTAGAATTCTTGCTTTTGCTTCTGATCCCAGCGCTTGTCAAGGTGCCGCGCACCAATGACAGAAAATGACTCATAAGCAGCATTCTACCAGTGGAATAATATCCGCAACAATTACCGTACTCTGTACTTCAAGTAGCCACAAGGCAATGGCGTAATGCTATCGAGAATTCCTTCCCACATTTATCACATTACGCCATGCCTGATCGAAACATTAGCAATATGGAGTAGCAAATTTCTCGGAATTTCTTTCAGCTGCACTCTCCTCAACTGAACCCGATCTGAAAGGTTGTAGACATACAAAAATACAAAGATCTGATCAACAACGAATGGGAATAATGCCGAACTCTCAGCGCTTTCTTCGACGCAATCGCAAACGGTGTTATGTCCCAGAGTTCAGGCAAATTCTGATACAGGTATATCTTGCCGTATTGGTGTTCTGGACTAGATTTCATGAACATAAAGTATAAAGGATGAAGTGGTCGGGCTTAATCAATCGCGTTTGTGACATCGACTTCATCTGAGCATCGCAAAGGCACTGAATGCGTACGTTCCCTGTACAATGACTTGCGGGAGGTATCCGATGTATCAAGTCAGTACTTCATCCTCTCTAACTCCTCTGTTACCAATTTACCGTCCCCGGAGGGATGGAAGGCTTGGTTAGCCTAGGCCGGGATCGAACCATCGGTCGTGCGAGCGAACAGCCAGATTACCACTGCTCTACGTGTCCCCCAAAAATTTTTGAAACGCTTCCCGGATTTGCGTGTCATCTTTGCGCAGGACCGTGCTAATCTTCTTTGTATTGTTCCAGTTTTAGGATACGTTCAGGAATGGACATCCTGCCGTGTACATCCTCTCATATCCTACCATAAACATACATATAACTAAGTGGAACGAGGCTAACAGGTCAAGTTTCGCGTCCTTCGCCTCCTAGCATTAAGAAATCTATTCGATAACCAATCACGCTAACCGTCATTGATTTGCTTAGTTATCCTTTCATAAGTCCCAGCCGTGCAGGGTACATTGGTGCTCTAGTTAGCATTGTTGTGAGGCACTAGAATCGGTCAAAGGGAACTTTTTGGAGAATCGCTCTATGGATTTTGCAGTTTTCAGTCTTGAGATTGTCTGTGGAAAGAATGGAAAGAATGTCCTGGGTCGTGTCTGACAAGCAAATAGTTTTTCACGACGTCAGGGCCCAATCGAAATAAATTATCGACACGAACCGATACCGATGATAAATTAGCATTTTCATCCCTTTGGTTTGTTATGGATTTTTATTACCTCACAAAAAGTATAAGCGTGAAATTTATTGATAAGGAACGTACCGGATGGCTAAAAAATGCAGTTAATGAGTAGAGCACGTTGAAGATACCGAAGGATATCATAATGTAGCGATAGCCACCGATTATTTTACTACTCTTAGAACATATCATAGAAATCAGAATCGAGTTTGTTATTGTCGCCAGTATCAGAGTTACAAAACTCAGCACACTGAAGTTGTAGTGAGCGAATAGCATAGGTTCCTGGCTATAGACAGTGGTGGTGGATCTGAATGATCAAAATTAATTATTATTACTTTTGAATTAGAAGAAGAGAGTACGGCTTGTAGGACCTAGGACATTTGTCCATAAAAGAATTCAAGAGTATGATGAGATGGAGGGTTATCAATGTTTTGAAGCAACTGGAATCAGGAAGTAAGGACCATATCAACTCACGAGTTAATGGCAATGAATGTTTGAAACAGAACGTAAGAAAATTGTCAACTTTTCAACTTGCCCGGGAATCAGTAGATTCTAGAACGATATTCTATTTTCTTGAATTAGGTGGGATTATTCTACGACCTGAATGAGTTGAAAACGGATGAATAACAATTCTGCAGAGATTAGATAAGTTCACTCCAATGCAAGGGCCAAAATGAGAGAGATGAAAATAGCCACGTTTAAAGATATGGTTATAAACAATAGTGCACCATTCCCAGGAGTGTTCCGTCTGCGAATAAAAGGTTAAAAGAATTAAGTGTATATCGAATCTGCATACTGAAGAGAGCGTATGTAATGCTGCTTTCAGAGTTTTGCCACGCGGCAAATGACACAAAAAAGGAGACTTTCAAAGATTTCCCTCGCGTGAACCCCAGCGTCATTTTGCGACTACACCCTGGAGACAGCGTCTAAGAGCAGGCGCTAAATTTTCCAAAATTGATAAAAGTAGAGGTAGGAGTTTGTTTTCGCATTGGGAGTATCTGGTTAGACGTTATGCTGTATGGGTGTAGCATATCTCCACAAGCGATTGAACTTGTAGTATGATTGTGGATCAGAAAGCAGTAAGTTGGCAACGAGTTTGCTAGAAATTCTAAGAAAAAGAGTGATTGACTCTGAGAGCAAGTGAGATATAACAGTCCTCCTATCGTGATGGCGTGCTTCAAGTGCTCCGTTGTTGCTTTACGTAGTATTGCGGAGAATTGTTAGAAGATTTCTTAGCACTAATCAGCTGCTTCACAAGCATCCCCGCTTCAATAGTTCATGCCCTCCCGGGGCATTTGAAGGACGAATGAATCAGTTGGTAGAAGCTAATACAAAAGACTGCAGCCTGTACTTGTTCATATGGGAAAGGAGTTAATTTCTTTGTCGAACTATGTATAATAGATAACATTGATGATGTGATTTATCAGGTTGTAACATTCGTTTGGAGCTGAAGTTCAAACACCGTGAAAAAAAAAATAGAAAAAAAATAGAGTAATCGAAGTGAAGAATGAACAACTAATCGCCTTCTCGAAACAATCATCGCTGCTTTTGCGGAAAGTTCAGTTGCCTGTTCAGCACAAAGAAAATCATATTGTAAACCAGAGATTGGTGTTCTGGACGCGAACTCCCTCAATCTTCTCTTTTAGCGCACTCTTTCAATTTGCTCTAGTTTCTCACACATGCTGATATAAAAGCGTTCCTTTGACTTAGTTGACCTTCGTCAGAATTGTTTACAGCACAGAAGAAAGATCAAGCACAGGAAAAAAAGAAGAAATGATGATTCAGATAAGACATGTTTTCTGCTCAACATTTTTGATGGCTGGAGGCCGGTTTAATCTCTTGGACACCCAGCAGTTGTAGCGGAGCCACTATCCTCCCTGAGGGTATTAAATTTTATGCAAATCAACACGTTTGCGCTGACTAAACACAAAATCCCTCGTTTCTGTGCAACAAAGGGCGGAGTGGTATGTACGAGTACAGAACAGCTGATCTCAATACTTTGTAGTATTGATGATCCAAGTATTTTATAGTATCAAATACCAGCACAAAATACAGTGACCGCGCTTGCAAGAAGAGTGGTCCACCAAGAGCTTACAGGCATACTCCGTAGACTCTACGAATTCTCCACAACGTCCGTTCTCGTCAATTCTCAGCCAGTTCCAGTAACCATTCGAAGAAGCATTGAACAGGGAGACACGCTGAATTCCGAGCTCTTCAATGCCGCCTTGCAAATGGTTTTCGAATCCATACATAGAGTGGGGAACATGCGGACTAAGGATCGAAGGCAAGACACTCTCTAGTCTTGAATATGCGTACGATGTAGCGCTGCTGGCTTCAACTCGTTCTATGCTTGAAATCGTCAACTTCAACTTCGCAGACCACGGCTTAGACCTTTGTTGCCGTCTGTCTTTTCCTTTCACTCAGTCAGATGAAGTTGCACATTGAATCCAATCAGGCTGTGATGCCTTCAAAATGTTTGAGGATATCTTTTGCAACAAAGCAACCTCCCTTCACTCAAGAAACGTGCATTCGACTCCTGTGTGACAACAACAGTGCTTTACTGAGCGCGAAGATGATGTTTACGAAGATCGAATGTAAGGAAGTTGGGAGTAACACAAAGAAAGAAGAAGAGAAGAATGCTGCGGTTGACGATACTGGAGCGATGGAGTGGTGAAAGGATCAAAACACTAACAAAGCTGAACGATTGGACTAAGTAGGGTACTAAGAGGAAATTACATTGGGCTTGAAAGATTCGAGGAAATGATTATAACGAATGGACGAAACTGGCGAGGACGTGGATACCATAAGACCATGTGAACCGAAAACGACGAGGACATCCTTGCACTCGGCGGCGCGATGAATTATCAGGGAAGATTAGACGAAACTGGTGGAGTATGATGATTGAAGAATTTGATAAGGCCATGATACGACATTCGAATGCTAACTGATACCGTAATGATAAGCTGTGAACTGTAAAACCAGCTCAACAAATCAAGGAATGCAACTGTACTAGTAAAATTAGAGATGCCTACGTTTATGGAGCATTCAATGCAATGCTATGACGATTACCTATGTACTTATTAGACTAGACTGACTTCACAGAACCAATCTAATCCTGAGCGGATAATAAAATGGCAGGGCTTACGTGAATGATAAGCTAATATTTTGGGATGGGTGAACTATCCTGTAACATGTTTCCACAAAAATAGCACATTTTTTTTCTAATATCAGGCTATTCACTGAGCATCAGCTGTATGCGTGCTGTCTTCTTCAATGTTCTTATCTCCTCGTTATAAGAAGAGGACTTGTCCATCATAACTTGAACGAAAATGTGACTTTCATAGGCTATTAACCCGGATCAGTCTCTATTTGGTAATTCTGAGCCAGAGACTGATACAGCGCTGCTCTTGACCAGAATTATCAGCAGCACAACCAGCGCTAGCTTCCTCATATTTTCTGTTATCTTCTTTATGCAAGGACAATTGAATATGGAGGTTACCGTATAAGCTATCTTCTTCATGCTGTATAGTACAAGCTGCACGCACTGTTTCACTGCAAGTAGTATTTGTAATGGTTCCTTTCTTGCTTGAAAGGTGCACCCTATGGTTTAAATTGGTTCAGCAGATCCGAGATGATTTTTCGCACCGCAAAACAAGGCTCGCCGTTACAGAGGACGAGTTGCTCGCCCATCACTGTGAGTGTGGCCGTAATTCACAGTAACAAATGAATGCATACACTCATCATAAGAGGATGCTCCATATTGTTTGTTACTCTAAAGCGGTGCCTTGTGAACCAAACTTGTTGTGTAGATTGTCACTTTACTGAGTTTTGGGTGGCAAGTGCACATTATTCCGAAGATCTACATAACCCTTGTGTTGTTCTGTACGAACAGCACAACTAGTCATTTCTAGCAGAAATAGCTAAGTCTCACAACAAAATTCTTTCTCAGCACTGCGCTTACGATAAACATCAGCTCCACATTCACCCAATTTTTTGAAGAATATCTTAGATGACTAATTTTATTCAGAAACTGTTAACAATGATGTATGTCACAGTGAGAACGTTGCACTGAATCATAGCATCAATTCCGCGGGACTGCTCAGTAGTATAACCGCTCTTTTTTGAACATCAAACTTACAGCTGCATACGGAATGACTCGGTTTAAATTGAAAAGGAAAAGCGCCAGCTACGTCTCTTGTAGAATATAAAAATAAGCCACTGCAGTATGCACCATACTGCAGTGGCTTGCTTTTATCCCTACAAGAGAGAGACAAGATTCTTCGAATTCACACTGTTCTCTGGGGATCATTTAACAGAAGGGCTTAAGTGCATGACAATCAGGCACATCTTTTGTAATTTACTTCTGCGTCTGATAAGCATATGCTATTATAATGAGCTAGGATAACATGAAATGTATTGTGTGAGATAAAGTACATAAACCTAGGCTGTGGGCTGATGTCTAGAGACGAAAGAACCAACACAAATCAGTCGGCTGAATCAAGCAAAAACACGCTGTTCATTGGAGTGCCATTGAAAAGATGAAAGTAACGAAAGATGAAGGAAGGGTAGATAAAGTCATGCAAGTGTCTCTCAGT